TCCAAATCATTTAAAATCGTAGTACACAGAAAAGAATCTGTGGATTTACAAAATACTTGAGCTGAGAGAGAAAAAACAACTGTAGCAGTGACAGGTTTTTGAAATGCAGATTCTCCTAATGTTACTTTATAAAAGCGGCACAAAACTAGCTTGCAGCTATGCAAGATATAATGTTTATAATGCTCCTACACAGTAATGAGATAGATTACAATAATGTTTTTATATCTATATATAGATAATTGCAGGAACTCCGGAGATTCTCCTGACCTAGGAGTTATGCTCCTCACAGCGGGGGACTATCCCTGTCAGAGGGGAGGGGGCTCGGGGGATTTTCCTGAGGTAAGATGTGACATAAATAAACAACGCGGAATCAGCGGCCGAAGCAACAGAGTCTGCTACACGACGTTATAATGAGAATATTTTCCTTTATATCAATGCTATGTGTAGTCCAATGGAATATCAAAGCATCCACAAAAGAGAGGAGAACAACATACTGACGAACAGAAAACATAATGCAGACGTTTAATTACGTGCACGGAGATCGTAGTGGTCATGTGCAGACACTTTAGGCAGTCACTGTATATAATTGTCACTCGGGTCCCATTGGCTCGAATTGAAATCTCCGGAGTATATGCTGCTGCGTTCAGACATCAGCTCACTCAGACTTTCTGCGGATATAATACTAGGGGTCTGGCCAGAGGAACTCCGGGTAAAGTCTGTGCTAAAAATGTGGCTGTTTGCGTTCACACATAGCCTAAAGTCCCTCCGGGTAGCCAAATCTCCAGAGTTTTTCAGGAGATTTCCATACGTGTGAAAAGGGTTTTACAGTGTTAATCACACTCGCTCAGAAAGTCCTCCAAATTCCTCAGCGTCCTTGCTCTCCTCCATCCTTGGAACATCTCAACATACTTCAACTTTGGCATCCACATAGCTGGAACCGGCTGCAGTCATCCATTCTCCTTTATTTCCTAACAATAGAAAAAGTGATTTGGCTCATAATCACTCATATGCTAAATACTATTGTATTTCAATTAATCAATTTTCAAATAAACTTCCAGACTTTAAACTGCAAGAAAAATGCATGTTTATGTTGTTCAAGGTATGCAAAGAGACAAGTGACATCACAAACCCACTAATCCATTTGCACATCAAGTAGCAATGGTCAGTAGGCAAATTTCAAAATTGTTGTATTTTAAAATGAATGAAAAAACAAGCCAGATAAATGTCTCTATATGTACATTTTTTTATTTTAACTCAGTACATATTTTTACCTGCTAGAGCCATCTCCTGCCACCATTACTTTAACCCTGATAATGTACTAAAGAGGAGTCCTAGTAAATAAATTCATTAATAAATTACAAAAAGAATTGTCCCTCATATGCTATTGGATTTTTTAAATTCAGGCAGTCCATGAAATACTTCAAGAGTCACTGTTACACAACAGATGAAGGAAAAGACTAAAGAATATAACTGAAAGACAACTTGTTCATCACAGGATGTGACCAGTTCCATCTCACCATATTAGAGCAGGGTTTGGACATAAACGGAAACAAAAGTTACAGTAATGGTTTCAATATAGTTTCAAAATTACAATGCACATTAAAAGTTAATTCCAAAAAAATAGCACAGGAAATGAACAAATAACAGATTAATGTGTGCCCAGCTCTGGTAATTATGTCATTAATCCACACTTTAATACAATAGTCTAAATTAATACGAACTTTCACAGTTTAAGGCAATGGATAGTAGAAATTCAGGCTGATACATGTTGTATCTATTTGTATAAATAGGGCTTAAGTATGCTTCGATGAATTACTGTGTAATTCTCCTACACAGCTAAAAGACAAAGATTGGCAATAACTGTTTTTATATGCTTATAGTTATAAAATGTCTAACAATAACCCTTTAAAAGCTCATTTAAATTCAGTCCCAACTTTAAGATTTCGTATCAAAACCTTAAACGGGTAATGTGAATAAACTTTATTTTGTATAAAATAATGTCACTGCTTGTTATAAAAGATTATGTCAAAGAGTGCTGCAGGTAAATACTCATATTAGTTAAAACATTCAGAGGACGCAACAATTAATGCTAATTGCTTGCTAACATAACAGGCTGGGACTACTGTACATAGAGCTAATGCAGCATCCTTGCTAGCTTACTTACACTGATCGTCAAACTGACCAAAACTATATAAAGAAGTTGTAAAGTAATTCCTAATACATTTCCAATGACGGATATGTTTACAAACAGTGTACCTCATCAGTCAGAAGGTTGACAATCAGAAAAGTACCTTATTTACGTCGATTTGGAAAACACACCATGTATTTGATTGGTCCTCATAGGTACCCTTGCTTGAAGCTTTTGTGTGTGGAAGCATGTCTGTGCTCTATAAAAAAGAGTCTATTTGTAGATTCACAAATGGGTTTTTCTTTCATACAAGGCATCGCTTTTTAATGAGACTAAGAGGACTCTTGTTGAAAAAAAGGAGGTGAAAAAGAATCTTTGCAGTCTCTGAAATGCAGCAGGCAGTAGTGCTCCTCATTTTTAGCCGGAGTGCAATGAATGGGTTGCTTATCTCTGGCATGTTCACACACACAAACACACACACACACACACACACACACACACACACACACACACACACACACACACACACACACACACACACAAAGCATCATTTGAGGCTACAAAAACCCTAAAGATATATGTACATTCCACAGTCTTGACTCATTTTAAATTAGCTTGAAATTTACATGGGTGAACCAGGGTTTTTGTTTCCTTAAAACAGAAAAACAGATTATGAAACATGCCCTCATAGATGCCACGCCATGCCAAGGTGATGTAGCATTATTGGAGAGGCCTGTGCAACAAACATATTCAGCTTTCCTGCTCAGGGGCTGTTAATATGGAGCCTGTTCCAAAACTGATAAACTCTGTCCACTGGTAATGTTTACACCAGGCTTAAGCATTGACATATGTTTTGGAAATGAACATCTGCCCAGGCTAGCGATAATCCTATAGGCAGCCCATTTAACACCCTAGGTTCAAAGATAAGATATACAGTAGCCCCTCTCAGCCCCTATCATCTTGAAACTGATTTCCAATAACGCATGGGTCTGAACTCTTAAGCTGTCTCGGCTAATGCTACTTATCTGGTCTAAAACATTAAGCAAGGTCTTTTCAAAGGTTTAATTCACACAGACTATCCCATTGAAAGCTTTAATCATTTAACTTAGTGTCAGAGGCAGTGTCCCCTTTTATCTGCAAATCCAGGAGATGGATTGTAAGAGAGGGATGAGGGCAAGCACACATTTTGGGTACAGTTTATCACTTCTCCCAAATCTCTGGATTTCACAGAATAATAATAGTCAGTGTTTTTCATTCTGTCATATTTTATGTGCCCTTACACTGTAAATCTGCCACTAACTCAATGATTATCATTTACTGCGCATACCGTCACACTAAATTGTTCTTGTGGCTGACCTCACATTGTTTATGTGTTGACATAAAGACACCAGCTGCTGGGAAATGTGGACATAATTTACATTTTTATAATTTTACTTGCGCTGCCACTCAAGACGAAGCACCCATTAGGCAGCAGGTATACTTGTCAGGTTTTCTTTTTGTCTGCATGAAATCACAATGCAAGCTTTAATTATTCTCAGGTGATTTGATCGTTAAGAATATGAATTCTTTTGAGCCCTACAAAAGTCTTGAAGTCTGAAAATACATGTATGAGAAAATAAAGGCAAACTTTTATTCTAAAGTATGAGCCAGAGCCATGGTATGTTTAAAGTAATAATATTATGACTGCTATATCCTCCTCTGGATACAAGCATACTGTAGGTTTGGTTCATGGCTCTGAGAAATGCTAAAACATGAAGGCATTCGTGAACAAGATTATTAACAGCAGGTGGTAAAAGGATTGGGGACAGCAGGGAGAGAGGTATCACTTGTTGACAAGGAGCTTCTTTATCTGTAGATGACAAAATGTTGCTGGGTGTCCAGCATTTATCAATGTCACAACAGTTCCATGCTGATGCCACTTAAATAACAAAACACATAAGTGCATCCATTTAAAATAATGAACATCATGCCTTGCAAATAAGAAAACATTTGCATACAGCCATCATTATCTAGCACTCAAAACAGAGAACAATATGTGTGGGTAATAATTAATCTTAGACTAATACAAAAAATGTGGGGATTGGGTCCATGATGCAATTAGTCAACAGGAATGCAGTTCAATATCATGTGTATTATTGTTGTTGGAAAATGCAAAATAAAATATTATAAAAAAAAGAAATAAAAGAATTGCAATTAAATAGATGTACACTTGTACTTGTACTTTACTTGATTATTAAATTGTTCTTTTGTACTTATACTCCAGACATTTCATGAAATGTACACTTTCTACTTCAGAACCTTCATGTTAGACTTTGTCATAATTCACTTTTCAAAATAAGATCATCAAACTCCTATTTGATGGCTATGATGGTTTTTTTTTCTACTGTATGTTTATAAAGTTGTTAAAATAGGATTCACTATAGAGTAACTTCCAATATTAAAATATGTACTCATTTGGATCATTCTGCATAGTGAGTACATTTACTTTTGGTACTTTTAGTATATTTTAAAACCCCATATGCTGCGGTGGCCACTTGTGTTACATTTTGAACCAAAAGTTTGATTATTAATTATAACAAGAGTATTTTTTTACTCTATGGTTGTATAGGCTGTTACTACTGTTAATGCAAAAAAATTTGACTACTTCCATAGCAACAGACCTTGACCACTTGTAAAGCCCCCCTGAGACAGATATTTGTGTAATTTTAACGATATCCTTATCCAAATCATGATTACTTTTTCTCTTCCCCGGTTTTCTAAAAGGGTTTCTGAAATGAGTGAAATAGCGCCCCCTGACTTGGTGTGGTCGAACATGTCACTGCAAGTACGTCTAGTCTACCAAAGAGAGCGCAGGTGACATTAATGGGGGTGATGGGGGTAATGGGGGAGACTATAGGCAATATAGCCTACTTGAATAGTTATACATGCATAACTGTAAAGCCAGTTATACTTTAAACCCCCCAACAAAAAGGAGTAAACTTAAAATCATATATTGAGAGAGAGTTAGCTAAAGATAGGTCTGAGCAAATGTGTTTTGATAGGAAAAGTTATCTAATTATCCAGCTGGCAGCAATGGAGGGAGGAGTAGACCAGTCAACTAGCAACAAAAAATGCTGTATTGGTAATTTAACATGGATTTTGAGGACTTAAAATCCCCAAAAGTAAGAAGAAAGAGCTTCAACATGGTGAGTTAATAACACCCTTTTGACTTTGTCTTTGCTTGTTTCTTTCTTTTCTGCTTACATTTCTCAGTGGCTGTATGCTTACTCATTACTTTGGGGCTATTAACGTTATGGAGGCTATATTGTGGTTTGTGTGCGTCAAGCCCCTGTGCTGCAAGTTGCAGACTGAATAATTGGAGCATAGGCTACTTGCATTGATGTTGCATTATTGGTTCTGCCAGTCACTTGTGTGACTATCTTCATCTTGTTTTGTATTCAAGCTGTATTGTGTGGCATGAGTCATGATTATTTTTGAAGGCCTTGAGGGGCTTTCTTATGTAATTAGAGCTCATAGTTAACCGTGTAGGCTAAGTCGTGAGATGTTTATTCTTAATTGAGTCAACACATTTAAAAGAAAAAAAAAAGAAAAGTTTTTAAAGTTGAATCTTTTGAGAGGATAATTGAAAATATGTAAAAAGAAAAGCCTGAGACAATTTCTGTGGGTTTCAATAGTTTTCACACTTAAATCTGAAAGAATTGATTGTGAAGGCAGAAAGCCCATAAACTGTTCTTTGTTGTCATCAGGTTATAAGAGTTATCATCCAGAAGCACTCTCTTTTATTTTTTCAATAGACTGTTTTCAGTGTCCTTGCCTCTGTAACTTAAATGTATTTCTTCAATACATTAAGCTGTATTTGAATTTTGTCTCTGAAGTGTTTTGTCTGGTGGTGTCATTACCGCCACTGATACAACAGGAAGTTTTTGCCTATCTAATATATACAAAAATAAAATAAAAATGTTTATCCTTCTATCGCATTCTTTGGGATAACATCATACAATGCCGTTAACATGCAATACCAATTGCAACTAAGCCTGAATTATTCAGGTACATAAAGCATATATGATCACTTATTTGATCTATTTTTATTACATCAAAGACCTGTAAAAGTGCTTGTATAATAGCCTATCTTTTCTAGGTCTTCATTATTCACAGCCCACTTCACTGTGATTTACCATCTCAGAAATATATTCATACCTGGCTTCTTTCTGTACTTTTTATGATTTGAACAGAGTTGAGAGTCAAGTTGAAATTTTCTGTATTCATGAGACCAAAATAATAGTCTATTGCAGAGTGAGCCTGTGGGGGAAAATGGGAGAGAATAACATAACAAATCCAGACAGAGCAAGCCACATAGCTGCGCCACCACCACTTCCAATCTGTAGCCGGAGATGAGTATCAGCCTGGTCAAAGAGCTGTCCTGTGTGCCGGAGCCGTCCTTGGAACTATTTAATCACAACATGGAACTGTGTGGCAAATTGCTGCTTCCTTATTGGCCCTCGCTTGACAGCCATGACCATATGGTGGGAAGTGATATACCTACCTGCTATCTTCCTGTGAGTGATGTCTCCAGTAAAAATGATTACTTCATTTAACCACGCATTATTCGGTTGGCTAGGGGTTGGAGCAAAATAAAAATTTATTAGGCCATCGGGTGGTAAAGCACAGCACACCACAGCTGAGCCTCTGGAGTGTGACTGCTTCAAATGTGAATATTTTGTTCAAATATATGAGTTAATCCAATTTTGAAACACAATATATTTATAAATATATTCATATATACTGTATATATATTTCCTAGAATATAACAATACAAATGTGATTAGAAATCATTTGACTCTTTTAGTTTCAGTGATTTTTGTGGATTATTTTCTTGTTTTTGATGCAAGCTCATACACACATACTGTAGGGGCCAGAGGTTATATTTAGGGCCATTTTTGCCTTAACTGTATAGGACAGCTGAAAACAGCGATAGGGAATGTTGAGGACAGAGTTTGGGATATGCAGTAAAGGGCAGAGGTTGGATTAGAACTCTGTGACAACGACTACAGCCTCTATACATGATGGGGCATGTGACAGAACCGCAAGGCTACCTGGGCTTTAATGAGGTTTGATAAGAGACTAGCAGTTAATAAGTTAGATAAAGGACAAAAAACAGCATATACACTCAATTCTTCCTTTCATATTTGCTTCTTAACATCTCTAATTCACAAGAAGCAATCACCAATGGGATAATAATTATTTAACGATCACACTTTATTGCATCCCTTTCTACTGTAAATGCGTTTCTAGACAGATAAAGCCCTTTGAAATGGGTTTACATTTTTCCAGGTTCTGTTTATTTTTACCCAACTTCCATGTTGCCCATTAAACATTATCTGATTTCTGTGTTTTCTGATTTAAGTTAATATAGTCAACAGAGATGTCTAGCTGCTTTTTGTATCAGGGTGGTATGATGGTCATCGTTTAGAAACAAAAGTTCAGGTCCAGGTGGCAAAACACAACTCAGTGGTGAGGATATGTGACACCAAGCTGATACCAAACAATTCATTGACTGTGAAAAGGGTCAAGTCCCCCTTTATTCTGTGTTTTATAGGTGATTAAATGTTTAATTGTATTATAATTATTTTTTAATCTGGTCTATATATACGGTCCATATAGGAAGCAATTTAAAATACAACAAATTATTAATATGACATTATACAATACAGTATGAGATGAATAATGTAGTTTCAAGTATTTATTGATGTATTTTCCAAACACAATAGCTCTTGGCAGCACCTTTACAGCAAGTAGATGTTGTCTAAAGAGGTTTTGAATAAATATTTAGTAAAACACAATTGTTATGATTATGATGAGAGTATGTATTTGCAGTGAAAATTATAATTGTTAAAAAAATACACCGTACCATACCTAATACCTAAAAACCTATATGCCAATACAGGGACCATAACTACTACCTTAAAGTATCTAAAAAACCATAATCAAAGTTCTTTATTATTATTATTATTATTATTATTATTATAAGTAGTGTAAAAGTAAAGTGTTTGAACTCTTCACAACCATTGTCATCTAACGTAAATCGGTTAGAAACCCCTGATTAAATTTGACCAATAATAATAAATGGTGTCATAAAGGGCGACTATGAATACAAACACAGTGCCTTCATAGGGTCAGTTCCACAATGGCAAGAGAAAATTGAGCAAGTGTCCTGTTTAGTGATATTTGCGAGACAATTGTACAATGATACGGAAATTACATTTACATACCCCACGTCTCATGGAAGAATTGCAGCACAGATATGTGGCATTTAGGTAAATGTCACCCAAAGGGATAAACAATCCCAGAGTCTCAATTTCACATCCACAGACCATTATTCATTAGTGCTGAATGACATACACCGCAATTAGATCAAATAATATTTTCTAACTTAAAAAAGCCACAAATATATGCCAATAAATGATCTTTGGCACTGGGAACCTTGTGTTTAGTGACGGCAATAAGTGATATAATTTAGCAATTATCATTATGCATGCCACATGTGAATTCCAACATACTACGTCATTGCCTCATTCAGCCATTAAACCAACAAATGTAATAACGTGTTCATTATGCATGTTCTCGCAGAAAGTGTGTGAAAAAGTGTGATTTTTGTTGTTGTTGTTGTAATGAGACCCCACTGTGAGTGAGCTCAGAGACAATATCAAGTTACAAAATTGAGTTATCCACACAGCTAAGTGAATACCAAGGCCTCTCATCACATTACCCAATGACATGCAGATATATACGGCAGTAAACTGAATATTAAGAAGAGCATGTGATTATATCAATCTGCTATGCTAATGAAGGAGAAATAATTCAGAGGCTTGCAAAGGCTAGGTGGGAACATCACGTGTGTATCCGATGTTTGCAAGGATCTCATGGTATGATTATACAAGAGGCGAAGATTATTAAAATTAAATATTCAATACTGAGTGCTTTAGCTTGTAACATTGAACCACTCTGCTCCTGACAAACAAGCCCACAGATTATTCTTTGTCTCCTTTCTCAACATTGAGCGTTATCGTACTTGTTGACCTTGTTAGTCGAGGTGTAGGAATTATAAAACGCTGTGAAAATCTCATCCTTCTCTCAATTGAAAGGTAAATATTGCAAACCAGCTTCTAATTCACTGTCAAGGTGCTCCGATAAGTGCCGCAGAGAAGTGACATGTTGGCTGATAGAGTGGAAAAACACAGTGAGCTGCATGTGGAATCCTGCATCGCCGCTCTCCATTCCCCCTTATCGCTCAGCTAGAAATCAGTCATAACCAGCTGCAGTGACAGACAATGTTGCTCTGGACACCTTCATTTGTTTACACTTCTCTGTTTACACTTGACATTTACACTCACTGTTTCATTTTAACTTAACCACCTACATCACTCACACACACTTTCATGACTGAATAGATTGAGTTTTGTTGGAGAAGAGATTTCTATTTGCAAGCGAGTGAAATACTGACAGCTGGTTCTTTATCTCGTTTACATCGTGTCTACAAGAAAGGCAGTTTACCTTGAACTATAGACTCACTTTCTTTTTTTTAAAATTCAATTTATAAAGAATGTTTGTGATAACCACTCAAGGGAAACATCAATAAGTCTGAAAGTTTTCTGAAACTTTGTGCAAAATACCAAAGTTTCACCTTTCATATTTTTTTAGAAACAGGTTAATTTTTATCCCTTGCAGTCGATGTTTGATCTTCATATCAAAGTCCCTTCAAAACCAGTGGAACTTTTTCAACCTGTTGCTAAATAAAACCATCACTTTACCACCTTCTGTTTGTTATAATCCATTAAAACTGAAGATGACCCTTTTCATCAGCTAGAGATAAGACATTGAACTTGTTAAAAGCTATCAGCAAAACCGCTTTCTGTGACAAGCCGATAAAATTCAGCACCTGATAGCCTCCATAAATGATCTGACAAAACAGAGAAGTTACGCATATTTTCTCCCTGCTCAAAATTCTGAGAGACATCTTCATGACCTGATAATTGCAGTGAGGTTTCTGGTGCCAGAAGTAGCCTAAAGCACATAAAAATAGGTCCATGATTGGAAGATTATTGGCTTAAACCCCTGGCACCCCCAAAAACCTAGAAGGGAATAGTGAACAAATACTGCAGTGCTCTCCCTTTTCTTACCAGCCGAA